GTTCATACCTCACAGCAAAGGCTAGTTATTCACACAAAGCAGAGTTAAGTACTCTATTCTATACAGGTGCTGTCAGTACACATGAAGGAATAAAATAGAATATACTCATAGAAACATACAGATAGAATTTTGTGCTGACATCTCATTTCAGGCTACCATGGAAAACACACTTGCCTTTACAGTGATGACGCCTTTCCTTCCAACCTTTTTCATTGCATCAGAAATTATGTTGCCAATTTCTTTGTCTCCATTTGCAGAAATTGTAGCAACCTGAAACGATCAAGTTACCTTTCCAAATTACAAGGTAAGGCTAGTGTTCTCCATCAACTCCCCTCCTTTTCCTAGTAACTTCCAAATGGATACATCCATGGGGGGAGGGGACAACACAGGAAGGGGGTTTTATGTTTTCAACTTATTATTTGGCTACATTATTTTCTAAAGACATGAAACATGCAATTATTCTTTTAAACAAAAACAGTGAATTAAAGAGGCTGACCCCCCATTATTTTGTTTTCCTTTGGCAAACATGGCAATACTACCACATACATACAAATGTCTTATAGCATACAGAAATAAAATAGCAGTCCATTAAGACTCGTGTCATGATCACTGAATTATTTTTAAATATTTTAGCCAGCATTCAGTAAGAAAAATGCTTCCAATGTAGGTGATTGAATAGTACTGTTATTCAGTAAGAAAAATGCTTCCAATGTAGGTGATTGAATAGTACTGTTATTCTGAAATTGGTGTATGATTTCCATGAAATGTTATTAAATTTTTTTACTTTACCACAAAGTATTATGAAAAATCCCTACCTGAGCTATTTCTTCAGGGGTTGTCACAGGTTTAGATTGCTTCTTAAGTTCAGAAATCACAGCATCAACAGCTAACATCACACCTGGGTCAAGAATAAACATCATTACATGAGAGACATATTCTCTCATGTCTACATGTCACATAAAAATTTTGATTTATATAAATGTTTTCATGCCTGAACAGCTTACACACTGCTTCTGTGCCAGAATTTTTCCAAATCATATGGAGCTGGATGGCATGCACTGAAACAGGAACTTTAATCAAGTCCCACAATGCCAAAATATTTTGAAAATTAGACTAAAAAGATTGAAGTGTACAATTGGCAAAAATCTAACCATTCAACTCATTCTGTATAAATCATTCCCAATCCAATGTGCCTCTGGAAGGGGCACGTGTGGGAGGCAATCAAATGATGTGTCTGTCACATGGATCTCTCCCCCCACCCCATCCCGTAAACTCTCTCTAAAAAAAAAGAAAAAAAAATCAATGAAAAAATATCTCCACTCCTCTAGTGAGGACTAAAATTAAATAAATAACAGTGGTCTAGCTTCCTGAAACAAGCAATAATAACCAAAAATGAAGGCCAATAACAAAGTGTTGTTAAGAGGTATCTCAGTTGCTTAGACTGTAGGTCAAGGTTGTGGGTTCATTTCCTGATCAGGGCACACACAAGCAGCCAATGAATGCATAAATAAGTGGAACAACAAAATCAATGTTTCTCTCTCTCTCTCTCTCTCTCTCTCTCCAATTAAAAAAAAAAAAGGAGAGAAGTAAAAATCTGCTTTAAAAAATCTGTAACATCCTGGGCGACTTAGCTGCTTCTTAGGCCCTACTTACTAGGGTAAAGCATCAGAACTGTACAATCTCTCTCTGCTCTAATCCCCAGAAGTTGACTGTTTTCAAGGTACACAGTACATACTGTATCTTCCATTGAAAATGTTAGCTTTCAGGGTGGTGGGGAGACTGACAACAGGAAATGTCTTAGGAAATGTCTCATTTTCCTTAACACCTTGTACAGTGCTCACCACACAGCCAGGCATTCAATCACTATTTGCTAAAGGAACATTCAGCATGAGGATTTTTAGGAAGAGAAATAAGCATCAACTTTCTAATTCAATGGACAGTTCTAACAATGTCTGACAGTGCGGAGGCAGTCCTACCTCTCCTGATTTCCACGGGATTAGCACCTTTGCTGATCTTCTCGAAGCCTTCCTTGGCGATGGAGCGTGCCAGCACAGTAGCCGTGGTGGTGCCATCCCCAGCCTCTTCATTTGTGTTATTGGCAACATCTTGAACAAGTCTAGCGCCAATATTTTTATACTTATCTTTCAAGTCGATGGACTTTGCTACGGTCACACCATCCTTTGTTACTTTGGGACTTCCCCAGCTCTGTTCAATAATCACTGTTCTTCCCTGTAATTGCAGAGGGAAAAAGAAGGGGGAAAAGTTACAGAACCACACACTTGAAAGCCTCAACATATTATCAGATCTGCAGCATAAACCTCAAGGGCAAGTTCATCAATGAACTTAGTTTAAAGAAAAACACCTCGTTGTTGTCAAGTGCATAACTTTCGATAAGGTATTCTAGAAGATAAAAATCCTAGAGAGTAAAGGATGTTATAAAACAGGAGCATTTGAGATCTTCCTGGCAACTATAATCAGTTATGCTCAAATAAACTCTAAAAATATAATTAAATTCTTCACGTTACTTATACTTCAAGTTTTCCCCAGTGCCTGCTACCTTGAAAGTCATGTGAAAACTTACTTTTAAATTGCTTTAAAGTGTAGTTACTAAAATATTAACTGCAAGGCAAGCACAGTCACTCTTGCAGGGCCACTGAACATTAAATATTTCTCAAGTATGGTGCAGAGTATTGGCAGCTTTTCGTGTGAACCAAAGCTGCTATTTGGGAGGCATGCCAATGCCTTATTTTTTTTCTTAATTCTTGATTGTTTAAAGTATTACATATGTCTCCTTTCCAATGCCTCATTGATACAGGTTGGATCACTTTGATATTTGAATTGTTTTCAAACTAAAATGAACCATCACTCCACTGTGCACAACCTTCAAAGGCCTCTTCAACTTATTACCACTCACTCGCCAGTCTCCTGTTAAGCGAGACAAATTTTTAAATGTGCTTTGGAACAGAAGGGACAGCAGAAAAAAGTAGGTAAAACTAGAACCTTCAAGAAGGTATTTAGGTATTATAGGAGATAAGTACCATCCTTCCTTCAATGTTTGCTATTTGCTGGGAAACAATCCAAAATTTAACAAAAGCTGGCAAGCAGGGTGATCCCTACCTGGAGTTTAAGAATCCATCTTAAGCTCTGAGTTACCAATGGATTACATCACACATCACACATTATACAAAATGAAATTTCCTAAATTTAAGTTTTAAGACTATTACATATAAGGAAAGGAAAAAAATTAACCATTAATGTGGAACTTACATATAAATTGGGTTCTCTCAAAAATGGATACTCATATACTGTCCAAGTTCAGCGTGACTTATCTGCCATCAGTAAAATATGAATTAACTCACAGTACCATCAATGACAATAAAATAATGCTGATACCTTTGGCCCCATAGTAACGGCTACAGCATCGGCTAAAAGGTCGACACCTTGAAGCATTAAGGCTCGAGCCTCGGCACCGAATTTTACATCTTTGGCATAAGCCCGAGTGAGATGAGGAGCCAGCGCCCTGGACACGGGCCTCACCTGGCGAAGGACTGTGTGCAATCGAAGCATTTCTGGGGAGCGGAGGAGACAGGCATGTCAGCGGTACATCCAAACCCGCACCCCCAGAGGCGCCACCCGCGCCACCGAACAAACGGCGGACGGGAACCGGGCTGACCTGTGCCAGCCCCGATGCCCGGGCCCCCGCAGGCCTGGCCTGCAGCACCGGCACCGGGCAGCCGTCTGCAGCCAGGGCCCTGCCCCCGCTTCTGC